ATATCTATGCACAATAGTGTTCCTAATATACTACCGTCATAGACCATAAAGCAGCGGGTCCCCTATTTCTACGAGTCTACGCGGACGCGTCTATATCGGCTTGCCGATCGACAATGACGTCATCGGACAAATCTTGATGATGGCGTGCCAGGCAAGAAACGTTGCGGCAATGCCACAAGGCCGTTTACCAACTACTCCAATGAGAAAAAAGAAATAAAGATAGAGAGAGAGAGAGAGAGAAAATAAGAACTTAATCCTTTAAAAGTTCTACAATTTTCTTGTCAACAATTGGACTTGTTTTTTCTTTTTATATAAATTCAACACAAATTTTAATTGTACAAATTGAATCCATAAATATTCGTAGATTATATTCAAAAAGAAAATTGTTTAGATTAAATTTCTTTTATAAAAAAAAAAAAACCCTGACGCGTCATTTTGTACCATTTTAAATATAATACATTGAAATTTATTATTCGACATATTTTTTACAAGAATTGAAAATCCTTTGAACCAGGATTTGTATTTTTTTTTTTTTTTTTTAAGATAATTAATGAGAGTAACATATCATTGTTCATAAAAAGAATAAAACACAAATAGCGCGCCTAGTTTGAAAGATTAAAAAATAAAAGTAAAAGGTAAAAATTACAATATAAAAGTAGAGTGTGCTATTGTGAATTGACACTAAATGTCACACATGTCAGTAGTAGGACACGCCTAGGAAGGTAACGTAATTTGATGCGTTTGTGTCTCGCATCACACATGACTAACAATAAGAGACACTACACTATTGTATAAAAAAAAATAAAATAAAATAAAAATAAAAATAAACAGAAAAAGAAATAGAAAAACCGCACCCAATTAGAATATATGACTTTTTACTAATCAAAAAATTACACGAGTAATAATATACATTGTATATAAATATAATTTAAAATAAATCCATAAGATAATTTCAATTATCAAATATTAAATATGAAATAATAATTTTATTGATCAAACGAAAATATTTTATGAACCGGCCTAATAATTACAATAAAAAGAAATTTTAGAGCCCAATGGTGTTATGATATATCACGAATCATTAGTAATAAAAAATGATAATAATCATGAAAGATTTATCATATTAATGAACAACAACAAAAAAAACATAAAATATTTTTTAACAAGATCAACGATGAAGAAGTCTTAGAATATTCATCGAAAAAAATGTATTATATGTCAAGTTTCGTCTGATAAAACTCGTGAAAGTCAAGATAAATAGAGAAAGAGAGAAAGAGCAAGAGAAATAGAGAACTTTGGGATTTGGCAAAGTCTCGTTTCTGCTGATAGCGGTGCGCGGCTGCGTTATGCGCACGAAGGAGATCGAAAAAGTGGTCGAACGACGTTCCATCGAGCTAAAAAAGACGAGAAGGGGAAAAGAAAGAGAGAGCAACATTGGATATTTACGACGACCATAAGAACATATACCTACGTACATACATATATATATATATAATTCTGACGTGATGTAAACGGGTCTCGTTTTACTTGTCGCGTTACAACTTATTAAAGAACATATTACGAAAGTATTCCATAGAGTTTATTAAGTGATACGATATCGTATGATTGATTTGTTTCTCTTCTTTTTTTTTTTCCTAGTCTTCAAATTACTTGTATGAATAATAATATATAAAATAACCGTATAAAATTAATCGTCCTACGTCGATGAAATTGATTACGATGCTATACTCATTATTTTGTATTTCTTACAACGAAAGATATAAACCCAATTTTATTTTTCAACAAATTTTATTAAAACGATTGATTAATTTTATTATCCGATACCATTAATCCTATTTCTTTAATTAAAAATAATATTATACAATCTCTTTGTATGTATAAATGTACGATTGATTAGAAATATATTGATATTATAAATTATAAAAATGTAATAATACTTTATATATAACTTTGGTGTGTTCTTATTCGACTGTTGTATTTATTTTCTACACATATACAAAACCGGACTCACGATGACTCAAGAATGCTACATTAAGAAATGAAGATAAAGTTCATACCTCGGGGGAATTAGTGCACATATAAACGCAAGTGGAATTTCTTTAAAAAGCCGCACTGTACTTCTCCAAGTTCTCTCAACTAACACGAACGAGCTAGTACATACTTGCACACTGCCAACTCTCCTTCCTTGCAAAACTAAACTTCTCTATCTCTCTCTCTCTCTCTCTCTCTCTTTCACTCATACACAATCACATTCACACATTACATCTAACTCAACCCATTCTTTCGAGTTTATCAATATTTCCCAAAAATTAGAGATAAAAACAAACTTGTAACATTACTTCGAAATATTACATAGTAATTCAATCTCTAGAAAATATCATTTTCTAGGAAGTTGAAGGGAAGAGATAAAAATCGCACGTGATTTAATCTTGGCACGAAATCAAAAATTATAGAGCTTTCCTGGTTGGTAAAGGGAAAAATATAAAAAAAAAAAATAAATATACATACGTGTACATACATATATATATATATATATATATAAAGAGAAAACTAACTTATATGTCTTCTACTCTGGTGATTCTCGTTACCAGCACGAGAACACGGTATGAGTATGCATGAATGTACATATATACATATACGTGTATGTCGTCGACTACTGTAAGACGTAAGGCGAGAAAAGAGAAATCTTATTGGAACATACGAAGGGCACGAGAGTTTCCTCGCAAACTAGATGCTTTCTATCTTTTTCTTTTATATATATATATATACATAGAGACATATGTGTCTCCCTGGATGGTACCCGGACGAGAAACGACGAGTCGACTAACGAGCTGAAATAAAGTCGAATTGCTGGACGCGTAACTCGTTAATACGGGTCAGTGGAAAAGAGACGGAATCCGTGGTGGTACTCGACTCTTCGCACAACGAATACGATATTTTCATGCTGCGTGAAATGGGGAATCCTGGATGGTACTAAAGAACTACGTAGAGAAGGAAGTAATAAGAAAGAAAAAAAAAAAAAAAGAAAAAATTGAAAAAGGGTTGAGCTCGGGTCGTTCGCTCTGCTAATTCTGCTCCTAGTCGGAGAGGAGCGTCGACGCGGCACGTGCGCGCCCACTAAACGTCGCTCGTACGCACGTCTTTATATGTATATGGTATATGCATAATATGTAAGTGAAAGAAAGAGAGAGAGAAAAAAAAAATAAAAGAAAGAACAAAAAAAGTGAGCAATATAATCAACCGTAATTTCTAACCTAAAAGTTATTATCGTCGACGTCGTTAGACGGTCTTTCAAGTGTATAGTCACAATTCGCAATTCTACTAAAGATAAAAATAGAATAATGAAAGAAATTCACTGAAACGTGTGTATATACCTTTAGAAATTCGCCTTATCGCTCATATTTAAGTACCGATATCAAACTAACACTTATCCTCGTGGTGGTTAAACGCGATAAAACTTACTATGAGAAAAAGATTTGTCGTTGGTTTAATCTTTCGCAAAAATGTACGTATAGGAATAATATTGTAACTAAACTTAAATATTCCCTAGTAACACAAAATATTGAATACATGTGTATTTATTATTAAAAAGACATTAAATCTCTTTTTAATATTAAATATATATGCATTGAATATTTTGTGCTACTAGGAATTCTAGACGTATAGAAATATGCATTTTTTAAATATATGGGAAAATTGATACGTGAAAGAAGTTGAAAAATCGCGCGAATCAACTGTCACGCGATTGGTCGAAATATAAAGACGAGCGGTAAAATTGATAACGCATATTGGTGGATTTGCATAGGACAACGACGACGACGAATGTAATTTCACGCTTTGGCTATTCATTCATTCACAGATTTAAAAGGATTTCAATTGTTTCATTTAAAGCACGCTTCTTTTCCGAGAAATTTACCGATAGAATTCTATAAGTAAAAAAAGAACAGAGCTAAAAATAAATACATCAGTCTAACCAAGCTTCCATTCGAATCCACGGTTGCCGTCGCGTTGCCATACACATATACACACATCATGTTTCTACAGCCGGTCTAACCAATGGTACGTCGTATATTGCGTAAAAAAGAAAGAGTTAGAAGAAAAAAAAAAAAGAGAGACATTTAATGTAAAAGAAAACGATCAAAAATTGTCCACATGATTTTACGAGGATTACGTTTTTTCTGACGAAATAAAAAATATTTAACATACCGATAAATAATTTAACACGCGGAAGAAAGGAAGGAAGGAAAAACAAAGAAATAGAAAGAAGAAAAAATGAAACGCGTAGGAGTGTCGTGATACACGTGATACGTCAGAGAGAAACCACGGAAGGGGATATGACGATATAAAAGGAAAGAGACTCAAAGAGAATAATAAATTGTGTGTGTGAATATTACGAAAGAATAAAGTTCTTTTTACCTTATTATCGGAGTCCAGATTTGATCGTAGTTGATAGTAGCGATGATATCTTTAAATATGATTTGATATCACTCCGACGGATCTGAACAATTTCTCGTCTTCTTATTCGTTGGAGCTACTGACTTCTCACCGTCGCAAGTATATATACATATATATAAAAAAGCACCAAATAAAACACTTTATGGTTATGAATATCTGTAATATTTGTCTGCACTAAATTCCAGAGAAAATGACGTTGAACAAACGCGAGATATATGGATTATTACGCTAACTCTGATGCTCTCCCTCTTTCTCTCTCCTCTTGACGTTCGCTTTCTCGCGGCGTACTCTTTTCCCGGAACTGAGAGACAGTAGTTAAAAAGACAGAGAGAGATAAATAGAAGGGTAAAGAAAAGGGTTAGGGAATAGATAGCACGAAGAAAAATGTGGATAAACAGATAGACAGATAGAGATAGAGGTAGATAGATAAAAAGAAAGATGTTAAGAAATGCACAAGGCAAGAGAAAGATAACCTCCCTCGCTCCTCACTTTAAACTCCGGTCGATCGGCCAAGTCGCGACACAAAGCACGAAAACTGCTCTCACTTGTATAACGCCGGCTCGGATGCGTGCTGACCTACTGCACTGTTCCGACTCATAATCAGTTCTTCCGTTTTATTCGATTTCGGCCCGCGTTGTTGCTTCGTTTAAAATATCCACTCTTGATTGCACGATGCTCTTTTATTAGAGATTTTTCCTTTAGATCCTCCTACTCTCCGCTTAATATCTTATATCCTTTCAATAGGGAATAAAGGTTCTCCCTAGTTTTAATATAGCCGCTCCTCAACTGAATGATCGATGTCCATCCGCCTGGTGAAAATCACGCGCGAACGTGGTACAACGAGACGACGAAACGACTACACAACGACGACGACTCTGCGACTGCGACTGCGATTGCGACGATGACAACGACGGGCGATAGTAGCGGCGACGGCGGCGGCGGCGGTGGTGGCGGTGGTGGTGGTGTTGGCGGCGGCGGCAGCAGCGGTGGAGGTGGTGATGGTGATGG